CCCCGCCCACACACACACACAGCAGGCATGTACTGTCAGTGCACTTAAGCAGGTGTTTCTGAGCTAGCCAGCTAGCCTGGGAACCAAGGCGCCTCCTCTAACATTGTGTCAGTGGAAGGTGCATCCGTGTTTCAAACCTCCAAGCTGCAGGCAGGCACAGTAGCACACACTTCTGAACAGCATCTGTCCGAACGCAGGGGCCCGATTCCTGGACTCCAGAACTTAAAGTGCTTGGTAAAGACCCAAGTGCACCCTTAAGGCCACTGCTCTTTTACACACCAATTCGGAATACCCATAGCTTCAAAATGACAAATCCTAACACAAAAATGGCGCTCTGGGATTGTAAAGCACAATGTTTTCGGTATGCTTTACATATTTATATTTGAATGAACTTTTTTTGGGGGGGGGGATGTTCAGTAACCTCATGTGAGTGGAGGTAAAAATGGATATCCTTAAACCACATTCATAGATAAGAAAATTGATGTTCATTTCCCAGTTTCTCAAAGCCAGGTGGTGGAATCCAGCCCCCCACACCAGGCGGGACCCACCCCACAGAGCTGCAGGAGAGGCCCAGGGGCCGCACCCTTTTCTGTACTCAGTCCCTGACTCACTGTGGCATCATGGTGACACCCCTCCCCACAGAACCCCGGGACACTTCCTCCCTGCTTCAAAAGTGGTCAGCCAAGTGGGAAACTCTCCAGATCTACGGAAATCAGAAGCGGCCTCTCTTACAGAATAACTAGACAAAGGAGAATGAGCTGAGGTTTTGTTTTGTTTTTCATTTTGCTTTGTTTTATTGGGGAGAGGGGTTTGCTACTAGAAATTCCCACCCCTCATCCTGCCCCCACAGCTTCCCTCCCGCTGGGCGGTTCAGGTTCCACAAACGCGCGTTTGTTTCAAGTGAAGTAACTTGGAACAGAGGGGGACTACTTTCTAGATGGCCGGAACGCTTCCATTAAACGCGGAGGTAAATGCCCCGCTGACTGCTCCGCTGGGACCTGCGGCTCCCGGGGCGGCCACACCCTAACCCCCACCTTGCCCGGAACGCGGGGCCTCCCTCGCACCCCTCCCATGCGCTGCCTCCCCGGGCTTCCTGGGAGCACTTCGGGGGTGAATGCGCGGCCGGAACGCTTCCATTAAACGCGGAGGTAAATGCCCCGCTGACTGCTCCGCTGGGACCTGCGGCTCCCCGGGCGGCCACACCCTCACCCCCACCTT